GTATTTGTTATTATTTTTAGGGTGATGAATAGTATACAAACACCAGCAATGGAACTTATTGTGATAATCTTTTTTTTTTTTTTTTTTAAAATTACTCTGGGCCTTTTTTATTTTTTTTTTTTTTCTGTATTCTGCAAAGATGTGTACAGACCTNTTTTTTTAGAATTACTCTGGGCCTTCTCTAAGTTCACTGTTTTTCTGTATTCTGCAAAGATGTGTACAGACCTAGATGTTTGTTAGGTCTTCAACTCTGTGATGTGTTCCTATGTATCTATGCTAGTTACACTGCCTTTGCTACTGCCAATTGAAAAAGATGGGAGGGACTGTTTATTTTTTATTTCTAATAAGAATTGGGGATTTCTTCCCATATTTGATGTGTGATAAAATGATATATAAATATGTTGAATTTACTGCTCTTATTATCCATGATAATGATATGTTGCTGATTTCCGTATTATATATGTGAAATGATAGATTATGATATTACTAAATTATGTGCCTATTTGTTAGAACACTGAACAAAATTGAGGTGAATTATTTAAAAACTCGGATTTATTTTTGTAAATTTTATCCATACATCAAAAAATAAGGTGCCTTTATTCTGTTTCTTCGGACTAGGTAAGAAGTTCTTTTCTGCTTATCTCTTGGTCTCATTAGAGAATTGCTTTTATTGATGTAACATTTAAAATTGATCATGTGATTATGTAAGTTTTAGAGATCACATACTTTAGAGAACACATCTATAGGTTGCAGTAATAGGCCCTGATCACTATGTGCAATATGTTTGGTGAATATATAAATATGGCAAAATCCTCATAAGTTTATAGATAGATTGCTGTATTTTTGCTGCAACTTATTTCTACCACTGCTTTTTATTAGGATTGTGACAAGCATTTTGAAGACAGCATGCTAAAAAATGAAGACATTTAAAAGATTGGGAAGCTTTTCTTTTTTTATTTTAATATACACTTTTGGAAAGTAGGCTGCCTTTAAAAACATTAACATGCAGAGTTTTTTAGTCACAAAGCTGAGTTTGGCTTATCTTTTATTTCAGCTTCATTCTGTTTCAGAAACAAAATATTGGTATGGGAGTACCCACATCATTACTATTTCATAATGTGCTGGTTTGCAGAAAAAAACTCCCAAAGTTAAATTTACTCAAACACCATGATTTTGATAGAGCTGGTCAGGATGGGTTTTGGGTTGTTTTGTTTGTTTGTTTGTTTGCTTTTACCCCTCAGGAAAAAAAAAAAAAAAAAGCCTAGCATCTAAGTTATGAAACTAAGCATCGTATTCCATTTCAAATTTTCAATTTATTATCGTAAGAGTTTAAGGTATGTGAAAGGCCATTTCTTTATGGTGGATGTACAGTGTTGGATGCACATTTTCAAATACATAATCTCAGCCAGTCCAAGAATGAAATATATTACATATTCCCTATTTTGCCCTTAGCATTACACAAATGAAAAAAATGCAGAGAAGAGCATAAACAAGTTAATTTATAATAGATAGAATAAAAGTACATTTTGACAAACACAGTTACCATATTGTACAATCTTTGACCCTTTCATATTTCTACAGTGACAGCTGAAGGTGATTTAAAACTTTCCTGGGTAAAAATCATACACATAATCTAAAGAGGTATACTTTTTTCTCATTTTTAACACCTGTGTAACAACTCAGAAGGGAAGACTATATGGTTTCTTGTATTATTAAAGCTCATTGTATGCTTGCAATTCCTTTTGAGTCTGAATGATAAAGAATCATATTATGAATACATTATCTTGCATTTGCTCATTTTACAATCATGGAATCATAAAATGATTTGGCTTGGAAGGGACCTTAAAGATCATTTACTTCCAAACTCTCTCCCATAGGCAGGAACACCTTCCACCAGACCAGGTTGCTCAAAGCCACATCCAACCCAGTCTTGAACACTTCTAGGGATGAAGCATTCACAACTTCTCTGGGCAGTCTGTTGCAGTGTCTGACCACCCTCACAGTAACAAATTTCTTTCTAATATCTAATCTAAACCTGTTCTTTATTCAACTTAAAGCCCTTACTCCTCGTCCTATTAGTACATGTCCTTGAGAAAAGTTCCTCTCCAACCTTCTTGTAAGCTCCCTTTAGGTACTGGAAGGCTGTAATGAAATCCCCCTGGTTCCTCCTTTTCTCCAAGCTGAATGATCCCATCTCTCTCATCCTGTCTTTGTAGAAGAGGTGCTCCAGTCCTCTGATCATCTTTGTGGTCTCCTTTGGGCTTGGTCCAACAGAGTCATGTCTTTCCTTTGCTGGGGGCCTATGAGCTGGATGCAGTACTCCAGATGGGGTCTTACTATGAGAGTGGAGTAGAGGGGCAGAATCACCTCCCTTGACTTTCCAGCTATGTATCTCTTGATGAGGTTATTAATGATCCTTGCAATGTTTTCCTTTTCTTCAGTGCAAACTCTTCAAAGAACAGCATATCTGAATATCTGTGAGAACATCCAGTATTTACTGGTCACATTAACATCTCTGACATTATAGAGCCTTAGATCTCACAAAGTGTATTTCCTAAAAGGAATGATGATTCTTTTATGTATCCTGAGTCAGATGTGTGCCAGAAAGTATCAGCAAGATATTTTTCAAGAGGTCAAAACAACAGAAACTTTACTGTCCAACTTCAGAAAATCAGGGAACTTTGGCAAAAAGTTGAAAACAACATTCAATCAACAGAAAACATTTCACAAAGCAGTAACTTAGCACACTCTCAGCCCATTCAGACAAGCAAATGCCAACCCACCCAATTTTAAGTTACTCAAACTTTGAGAAGAGGGAATTAGGCAAAGAATAAAGCAAAGGGGATAAGAGATACAAATATAGCCAGCAGTGTTTCAGCTATTCAAAGCCCAAGGGAGGTAGGGTCAGACAATATGCGTGCCTTGTGCTCTGGCTTAGGTACAGTTTGGCTTTCCTGGGCCCAGGTGACTTCTGGTCTGGTAGCCAGTCAGGAGCTGCTTTGGGAGCTCCAGGGACGGGGTGTGGAGCATGGCCTCTGGTGTGCCAGGGATTGGCAGCCCCTGTGGGAGCTGGAATACAGGCCCCAGGGATGAGGTGTGTGGAGCAGAGTGTTGCCTTGCCAGGGCAAGACTTGGTCTGCCCCTTTCCTCACACAGGTGCCTGAAATTTTTCAAGCCAACCATCTCCTCCAGTCTCACACAAACATTTGCCAGTTTTCAGTATTGAATCTATTCAACAGGTCTAAAAAGACATTTCTGTCTTCTATGACATCCATTTGTATATTCTTTGAAAGTCTTATATTTAGTATGTTTATTTGTACAAGACCGTTCTGATGATGGGTAGCATATAGATTTCTTGAATAACACAAATCTCTGACTTGATACTGTATATAGTTCTTGTTTAACTGAACCATAGTCATGTATTTTAGCCATCTAGTCTTTGTTTAAAACCCTCAAGTTATGGGCAGTCCACTTATGACCCTCAATAAATTGTTTATTTTATTTTCTTAATTTAATTTATTTTTAAAAAATCCAACTGTAAAATGCCATGCTTTTTTCCACTTTCTAAATTCAGAGCCTACACACTGAGTAACTATTGGTTAGGAGTCAGATTATGAACAGGTATATCCCTCCTTGAAATAGTCATTAGTTATAGTAATATTCTCAGTAAAAAATATTTGTTGCATGATTTTGAATTTTTGAATTATTCTTACTGTAGGTTCCTCATGAGTAATTTACTGTAATTAATAAAGATTTGAAATTGAGGATATGAATTTAATTAGTGGATGTAATGTAAGAGTAAAGCGAAATAGTGCCAGGTAACCAGATTCCAAATAGTGCACCAGAAATTATTCTGAGGAAGTTTGCAACAAGTATTAGTTTACAATAGGAGGTACATGAAGGGCAATACAAGACCCTGGGATTAGCTCAGTGGTCTGAGTGTGGGTGCTGATAAAGCCATGGTTGCATGTTTGATCCCTGTATGGGCCATTCACTTAAGAGCTGGACTGATTGATCCTTGTGGGTCCCTTCCAACTTGGAACATTCTGTGATTCTGAGAAAAGATGGAGAGAGACCATTTACAAGGGCATGTAATGATAGACGAGGGGGAAGGACTAAAGTCTTTATTGTGAGGGTGGTGGAATAGAGAAATTGTATATGCCCCATCCGTGGAAGTGTTTGAGGCCAGGCTGGATGGGACTTTGAGCAACCTGGTCTCATGGAGGGTGTCCCTGCCCATAGCAGAGGGTTTGGAACTCCATAACTTTTAAGGTCCCTTCCAACCCAGAGCATTCTATGATTATACTGTGGAATGTAAAGCTCATTTTATTGCTATTCAGTATTTCCTTAAGACTTCTTTTTTTTCCCAGTACATTCCTTTAAACATACTCATTTATTGAACCATTTGGGAAGAGCCAGCATAGAAGAAGGGCAAACACTAAAAACAGATAGTATTTTAAAACATTCTTTGATATATTCATCTAGCTTTAAAAAGCTTGTCTAGAAAATGAATTTTTCTGACAAAGTCACTGAGACGCTGCACTTCTCAGTGTATTGAGTAAAAAACACATCAGACTTTTTTTTTTTTTGGTACTTTTTTCTTGTTCCCTTCAACTTTATCTGTGCTATGTTTGTTATTTTGGGTTAAGGTTTAATTTAACTTTTTTTGTTTTTGTTACACCTCTGACATGTAACTTCTAGTCTGAGTGATTATTGGCTTTTTTCTTAAATCCGTTGAGTCTGTTGCACTCTCTATGTACCTCTGAAGCCTAAAAGATTTCATCTGTGGCTATGGAAAAACTGGAGTATAAAGCTGAGCATGATACAGAGAGCAGTTTCTTGAACCACAACAGTGAAAGAGAATAGATGATCCTTTGTTATTTTTGGTTTATTTTTGTTTAAGAATGTTGTGTTAGGCACAGAATTACCGTCATCTCCTTCTTATGTTGCAATTTAGTCTTGATAACTGCAGCTTCTCAGCAGCATTCCAGCCTGGTGACTCATAGCAGATGTAAGCCTCAACTCTGCAGCATTTAATAGCAAAAACAATCGCAGCTTGGGAAGGGTTCTGGAATCATTTGCATCAACTTAAGAAGATTTAACAACTTTGAGTTCTATCCAGGAGTTAAAGGTAAACATTTAGGGTACCTATGAGGGAAGAAGGAAGAAGTTTGGCTAATTTCTATAGTTATGGTTTAAAAGTAATTTGTTTTTGAAGGCCATATAACTGGTTCAGTATGCATAATGATGTACAAATGTTTTACCAGGATTTAGCTATTTTCCTGCATTTTTAGGTAGTTAATAAAACCACTATTTGAATCTGCAGTTTCTAAATTTTTATTGCTGTATGAACAAGGCTGCTTTTAGAACCTAAAAGTAAATAAAATAATGAATTATTTTCCAGATGAGGAAAACAGGGCAATTTTTGTAACACTGCCAAATTTAAACAAAACATGTGCATGAGTTTAATCATTTTAATTTTAAGAAAGCAAAGAAAAAACTTTTCAGTCATTTCTATCCTTTTGACAAATTCTCTCTTACTATTATTGTATTTATTACCAGTCCAAGTCTTATTGACACTGTGCCAGCAGAAATAGGCGTCTGTATTCCATCTAGTTTGCTGTTTCTTAAATTTAAAAACATAAAAATATTCTAAATTTTAAAAATTTTCATAGCACAACTTCTTTAATGTAATCAAATCTATTTAGTAATTTGTTATTTAAATACTTGGAAAAAACATCATATTCAGGGGAAATTTGAATATAGGATTGACTGTGTGTGTATCCTTTAAAGAAAGCCTAGGCACAGAGAAGAAAAAAGATGTCTTTCTAGAATTTTGATTCCATAGCTTTGGAAAAAAAATCTGCACAACTGTACAATGCATATTCTAGGTGTAATCTTGGAATATGAAATTAATAACCCCAGGGATAAAATTTCAAGGTTTCACAAGAGTTGCACTTAATTTGTTTAAAACAGAAGGTGATTTTTTTTTTCAGCTAACCATTAAGGCCTTGTGTTTCAGTTTGAAAATATACTACTAAGCTTTTCTCACTCTAGCATATGATGTGTGATAATTAATCCACATGTCTAACTGTCTGAGATTAAGATTTTCCTGGAAAGGGATATCCCCTATACAAATTTATGTTGTTTTTTTTTTTTTTTTTTTCCTTTTTGTTAAATCAACACCGGTATTATAAAACAAGTCTTGGAAGTCTCTCAGCAGTTGTTAACTCTTTGGGTTCATGTGTAACTGATTAAAATTTGTAATTTTTTGCAGGTTTTTTGAGTTAAAGATTTTATTAAATTGTGTACTGTCAGCAAATAGCTATATAACAAGGGTAAATATTTAAAGGACTGAATAAATTTGTTAAAGAAACTGACTTTCAAAGGAGGCTTCTTAGAGCAAGATGTTGAGCTTCCCTTGAACAGAATTTTAGGTTTCCCTGTTACTGAATACCATGGATGTGCACCTTCAGGGAACTGTTACTAACACAACCTCTACTGAAACTTTTTTTAGAAATGTAGGTAACTAAGTAAAAGATTACCCACATTAATTCCATGTCTGAACCTGATGATTTAATGTATCAAAGTGCTTTGAACATGTAAGGAGCTTGACCCTATTTACCACCTTTCTTGTCACTATACAGTTGACCACTCAGTGTCACTGCAGCTGTGAGACAGACAAACTACAGGAGTTTATGCCTGCTGGGAAACTGGCTTAAAGGTGTGTGGTCCAGGACCAGCACTGCTGATTCTCCTCTGACCTGTCTGGGTCTACCTGCTGGGCAGTGACAGAAACAGAGAAATGCTTTTAAGTCACCCATTTCCTTTCACAATTCGAGTTTTCAGGTCTCTTCTTAGTCTTTTTTACCTTCTCCCTTTCTTTGGAGGACGGCAGCATAAAGATTTTTGTTACCCCTATCCTACTGGAGGTCCCTCTGTAGTTTTTTTTACCCTGTGTCCTCTCTGTTTCAGACTTCCCTGTTTCTGACTGGTAGATCTGCCAAAGAGAAGCATCAGTTTCTCCCTCTTTATAAGCCTCTTCTCTTTCATTCATAGTGAGCTTATATTGTGAGTTGCTACAGGATCAATACTCCATCTTGAGTTTATTGACCAGCTTGCTTTCTTAAAAATAAAACTCCAGGATTAAAATACCTTCACCAATTTATTTAAATTGTCAAATTTAGAAATTTATGAGATTATTATTATATTTTACTATGTCTTTTGAACATGTTTTAGTTCAGCACTAAAGCTGACATGCTAAGTTGTCTCCCAAGTGCAGTCCTTATGAAGCTTCCTACAAGAGGAACATTCTATAGAAAGAGGCATCCTTAAATAGAAAGGTGACTTCATCTAAAGATAAACTAAACCAAGTGCACACAGTCTACACTCCTCAGCTATTCATTCTTTTTGTGCAGATTGCTGATAGCAGCTTATACATGCTTAAAGGGACTTACCTGCTTTGATTGTACCTCATAGTGTTCTATTTTTTTTTTTACTTACCTTAATTTTTTTTGACCGTTTTCCAGGTTTTCTTTGTTCTTGTTTTTTAAAAATAAGAATACTGTTGTAAAATTGTGCAATCCATTTAAGATTGGGTTTTTTTTCAGATTGATTGTGGTATTCAGGTATTCACAGTCAGTGAAATCATGATAGAACAGTTCAAATACTAAGAATAATGTGAGGGAAGATACAGTGGTTTCATAATTAAAATAACAGGGATGAAGTAGAGTACATGAAATATGAATCTTCCAGTGAAGAAAATAGTCCCTTCTCTCTTAGAAAACATATTCAACGTATGCAAGGATTCAGGACATCAATTAACAGAGACAGATCATTTGCAGGCTGTCCAGATAGCCAATGTACTCTTTGGCCACTCCTGTCACAGATAGTGTCATTCCAACAGATGGCAACAGCTGCTTTCAAAACAGAAGGGACTGTAATAACTATAACTACTAATGTAACTTTACTAGCTGTAATTTGACAAAGCATCCTAAGTATTTTATAGGTAAGTGTTCAAATCTGAAATTTGTCTGGGCTGTAATTTCTGGTCTTGTATGAAGTTTTCAGATATTGGTGAAAATACAGTTGAATATGTCCAAATTTGCACAAACTTAAAAACATACTTTTCATAATCACCTTGCTTATCTTTGTACTGTAAAAAGCACAGTCTGCCAAAAACTTCCACTCATGTTTTATATTTATTCCTGTAGAAACATGAGTGGAAATTTTCATAAAGTTGGTGTTTCAATAAACACATGCTGGTATTGAATCATTAATCTCTATTGTAAGTTTTACACTTTGTCTAACCATCAAATAATATAAAACACCATTAAAACCACAAATACTTTAAACATGTCACCATCCCTGGAAGCATTCAAAAAATGTAGATGTGGTGCTTAGGGACAGGCTTTAGTAGTGGACCTGTCAGTATTAAGTTAATGGTTCAACTTGATGATCATGGAGATCTTTTCCTTAATAACTCTAAGGTAGGAGAAGCAGAGTAGACACATATTCTGGCTTAATTAAATGTTAGCATATGCTAAATGAAAATATTCATAGCTAAATTTAAAAAATTTCCTCAGTTGATACCTTGCAGAAGTTTAAGTAATTAATTCAGAATAGCTTATATATAATATTTGTAAATATTTTACTGATTGGAGGCCTGAGTTTCTCCTCTGTGAAAAGCACACGTCTGTCTTACAAAACAATTTTGAAGTTCTATCAGCTAACATTTGCAAGGCAGTGAGATACAGTGGTGATTGGCTTTGCCTATAAAATAATTTTCATACCAAAAAGATGGGGTTTAAAATGGTATGGGTCATACAGTACAAAGTATCCATGGCTATCAGTTTAAAGATGCCATTCTTGTCACCATTAGAATAAAAGCTGATAACTATTTTAGATTTCCCCCCCAAATTACTCTATGACAATAAAATTACCTTGATCCTCTCCTGGTGCACAAAATTTGTACAAATTTTTAGATCAAGGACAACTAGCCCAGTTCAGATTTTAATTACTTGTATGGCAGGGATCTTTCTCACAAATTTAAAGGATCAACAAGGAATATTTCCCTGTTTTTCAGCTTGTTTAAAATGTTTTTGCTTTTGTCTTGAAAATAAAATGTGTGCTTTTGAATGTTGGATAGCTGTCCTAAAATACATGGAGAGCTCTAATACAAAGTGGCCTAAAAGTATAAATTCTTATTTTACTGGCTTTTGGAGTTGTATTTTATCAGACTACTTTAGACATTTGTAATGAATCCTGCATACACATAATATTTACAATTTACAAGAAAATAATTAGAGGTTAAATAGAATCTTTTAAATAAGATTTAAGATGTCAAGTGTAAATTTTAGTTTTAATGTTTAAGTTAACTAGTGTTTCCCTTGTTCTTCTACTTCACAGCTTCCAAAATGAAGATTTTGATAATGATTGATTTTGTCCTTGCAGCTAGCTTGATTGATGTCATTGGCAGCTCTGTAAGTTCTAGTAATTTAGTTTTTATATAGAGTTTCTTCTAAATACTGCATACCTTAACCTCCATAGTGCTCAAAGTGGACATCCCCTCCATAATCCTCACAATCTCTACACATGGTGGCAGAACTTTTGATGGAAAATATTAGAATTCATTAAAAAAATGAAAGAATGTGGAAATATTTTCAAATGGTGTGTACTGAGGACAAGTTTCCAATAAGAAAAGAAGAAACAAATGCATAAATTTATAATGGAAGATCCATCACTAGGTAATGTCACCAAAGAAAGGAATCCAGTTAGTTTGTGACTGGATCTGATAAAAAAGGAGACAATAAATCTTTCGTAAAACAGGCATCATATGGTGCAAGGAGGCACATTGTATGGAAGGCACACAAGATGATTATAGTACCATTCAGGTGTAATGCTAACTCAGAATAACACCTGTAGTTTTGAGCAGCATACTTACAGACAGGCAAAGCACAGGAACTCCTAAAGCAGGGGCTGCAGCAGTGCTGTTTCTGGGCACTGACACCTGGTATGCAGAATGTTTCTGTCCTTTTCCACCTTGTCCACTTGCCCTACAACTTTTACTCAAACAAGATCCATAACTTCTTATTCTTACTTGTTTCCATGTAACTACGACATAGTTCTCACTCAAACAATGATCAAAGCTCCCAGAACCATCTCCTATACATTCAATTTCTCCAACAAAAACCCTAATAAAATCACACTTACTCCACAGTTTAAAATACTTCCAGCCTCACCAACCCTAATAAAATCACACTTACTCCACAGTTTAAAATACTTCCAGCCTCACCAACCCTGCACATGGCATATCATGTCTGTCCTTACTAATTTTATATCCAGGTCCTAAATAGGAGAGACCTAAAAGTATTGAATTCTTGATTCATAATTGCCTAGGTGGAAGTAGTTGCTGAATTTACAGGTATTGTTTGTGGCTTACATTACCTTATGGAAAATTTTCATTCAGATAAGTAGGTTTATAGAGGCAGAATGGAAAACACCTGACTCTCTAATCACTTCTTCTCAGTGGAGAAAAATATTACTAATTCCTGCGGAGGCCTACTGAGAAAAGAGGCATCACAGTTAAATGCATTTACTTATTTTTTAATTTTTTTTTTCATTTAGAATATTCTGGACTTAGCTGATCTTCTGAGTAAAAAATAGGAATATTCAGAACTTCATCTCAAAGTTTTCACCTTTTAATCTAATTAAAACACTAATCTCAATATAGAGTTATTTTGGAGCTAATTTATATTCTATAAAGTATAGGAAATAGCACCACAGGTAAAAGCCTTGTATTTTTATAGCTTTCATGAAGTATTCTGAGTCTAATTTGTAGCAATAATTTTAATTGAATGTCATTGGCTGCTAAATAATTCACACAATAATGAAAGTGAATGCACATTAATTGCAGCAGCTGGTTAAATGTAGGATTTTGTGCCCAAGAGCAGAGCTGTCAGCAGTTGTTAGATAATTGCTTCTCAATGTGTAGTGCAAACAGTTGCTTCCCTGAAACAGAACAGGTTGTGTTCAGTCTGGTTTCAGTCAGTGGGCACCACTGTCCACTAGAGATAGGCACAGTAAAATCCACATTTTGTTGAGTATTTCAACATTGCAGTGGTTTAACTTTTGTTCATATATAACAAATGGAATAGCAATATGTTATTTACATTGTGCTTCTTTATTACTCCAGCTGTGCACTGGTTTAACTTCAATGTTTTTTAAAGGATTATCCTGTGGAAAAAAAGTGTAGCAGTACATTAAAAGAACAGTCTGGTAAACTGAAGATCTAAAAGCCACATCAATCCAATTGAAGTTACATTTACCTTGTGATTATCTCATGGAAAAAGTAGACATGGAATTCCAAATACGAGAACTGTGGTTTTGCTGTTCAGCAGCAAAAGTCTAATGGGATTTGTCTGGAGTTGACAGAGAGAGACATCAATAAGAAGGCTGAAGTCAGGGAGAGAAGAGAAAGTCACAGATACCAGTACTTTTCATATGTAGGTTGTTTTCAAAACTGTTTCTGCTCAAGCACTTTTTTTTCTTATGCTGTAATTATTCAGTATGGCTAGTCATGTCTTGATTGTAATTTCTAATTTACTGTCACTTCCTAAGCATTAAGAGCTTAAAACCTTTTAAATAAGGAAATTGTTAAGTGTAGTGTAGATATATCACTGTTCACCCCATCATGAGTGTATGGTCTGTAAAGCAGATGAGAATCAGCTCATACTTAGTTTTTCATTTTTATGAATTAATTCATCATTTTTAAGTACACAATATCAAAATATGGTTTTTAAATGCAAGTTTAAGAATAATATTTAGAGACACAGCCTGTTGCAGACTTGTGTTTAATTTGGTTCAAAGGAAAGGACCTTTTATTGTATGAAGTAGTATATGAAGTAGTGTCATACTGAATTTAGATACCAAGTTTTTCGAAGGTAAGATAATATTTTTTCAGAAGTTCTATACTTGTACTATATAATTTAATCACAGCAGGAGAATGGGTTTTAGCAGTGCGAAAGGAGAACTGATAGAGGCAGTGCTTTCACGTGAAAGAAACACATGTAACTGCTTGTAGCTGCCTCTCCTCCAATGCCCTATCCCTGCTCTTTCCAGAATGGAAGGAAGCTCTTTGTGGCTCAGATCTTGCCACATGTCACAGAGGTTACCCACCTCAAGCCTTGTCTATGGAATTGCAAGGGCCTGGCAATGGGGGCCACCATTTCCAGGTCTCTCCTATTGTAGGTTACCATGTTCTCCAAGGTTGTGACGACTGAGTTAAGACTGATACAAGTTAGCCTTCTCAATAAAACTGGTAATTGTGACATGGTGGCTTCTTTATCACTCTTAACTTAGTGCGATTAGAATAAATATTTGGTCTGACTGGGAACATGGGATTTTTTTTTTTACAGCTTTTCTTTTATAGTTAGCGTTAGCTCATCACAGTGAGCCTGGAAATAATTTTTCAATAATTTTAAAATTTATTCACTCTTTCTCAATCCACCTGTGCATCTCTTTCTCTCTCTCTAAAGCTCTGCAGTCCTCTGTAATTTTCTGTATTTACACAGGTCTAGACCAACAATTTGCAAACACCTGTCAAGGAAGCCTTTTCTGAATCTCCCATTGAATTAATTCCCACTGAATAGAAAATTCAGCTTTTGTGAAGGGTTTGTATGAAGCTGCTGATACAATTGAGACGTCCATCGTGGAAAGGCTGCACAATAAATAGCACATCTTTTCTTTGTAATATGCAACATGTCCCACATTATCCAGTGCATACAGTCAAGTAACATCCCTCTAAGCTACTGTGGCAACTTTGTATGTCCATATATTTTAACTTTTTTTTTTTTTCTCTAGTTTCCTGCTAGAAAAAAAGGGATGATATGCTAGGCATCTCGTGTAGCTGTCGACAACTGAACAAAGATTTTCAAGCGAAGGTTCTTAAATCAGATAGAACTTTGGGCTATTACTGTGTCGCTGGCCGCGCTGTCCCCTGAGAAGGGGTTTGGGAAATGCGCCTCTGGCCCTACAGCGTCCCCTTGTGGGCAAGCGCCGCCATGGCGGCCCGGCAGCTCCGCGGGCCGCGCCGGCTCCGCGCTGCGCGCACGGCGGCCGAGCCGAGCCCTTCCCTCCCGGACACGTCGCTACAAATTGCCCAGATATGCCACATATGTGTGTAGATACTTTTCCCCATTCTTTTCTTTCACCGCGTGTTTTAGGTTGCAGTTAAGTATTAATTAAAGCATGTCTCTGACACATTTCAGTAATACTGTCTTTCTTCAGGATTGTTTTGCACAGTCTTATGATCAAATTTTCCAGTGTAACAAAATATTGCAGACAAATGGAGCAATTTGTTGGAAGTGTTCAAGGACAACGGATGAAGCCTGAGCTTAATGCAAGTATGCATCAAGTATGCATACACCACTGGAGTATGCAGACACCACTGAGGTGTACCTCCCTATGCACAGCAGTATGCTATTGCAGACATTTCTACAGTTTAGTGTGCTAGGGCAATGTTCTGAGGTATACATTCTTCCATATGAATGGCAAATATTGCAGGTCTACATATAGATAATGTTTCCTATGAGTAAGGTAGCACCAATTTAGAACTATAGCAAATTTGATCTTACCTGTCAGATTTCCAGAAAGTCACCCTTTGATTTTGCCCTTACAGTGCTAATTATGCTCTTTTATAAGCTACTAAACTCTGCTTATATAAAAATTCAGTCTTATTGATGCAAAACCTGTGTCATGTTTCCAAAGGCTTTTCTCCTTCACACTGAAGTCAAATTTATTTAATACATATTTTAAGCCATACAGACTGTTTTAATTTAAGTTCTCCAGATCAGGTTCTGTTCACTTCAGCTATTTTTACCATAGTCTTTAATCTAAAAACAATTATTTATTGCTCAGCATGCATTCAGTATGTCAGAATTTGGAACAGCTATTTTTGAGGGTCAAGTGAGTGCTAAGTAACACTGTATCAGAATTACATTTCTCACCACTCTGCATGGCAAAATTAAGTACAAAAGTCACAGAACGACACTGACTTTAACTTTTGTTTTAACTTTTATTTTTCATGTATATTCAGGACTTCTTAGAGACTATTTTAGCATGCCAAAAATGAGCTTAAAACGTAACAATATTTATGTTGGCAGTGTTAAGATTCTTATCATAAGAAGTGTGTAACTTAAAAGCATTCAAAAATGCACCATGAAGTTGAAAACATATCCATGTAGATTGCATTTCTTTAAAACTCTTCAGAATCTTCACAATGTTAGTAGCATACTTCTCTGGATAAAAAAAATCTCCATTCATGGAAGATGATAGAAATAGGGCCTCCTTATGATAGGGCCTGTATTATAGTGTTTTTCCACAAAGTCCTCATGGCATGTTTGCAGTTAGAGCTAGTAGCACTAAAGAGAAGGTAAAGCATTCATAATATGAATATTTTATATATTACATGCAGTAACTTATGAAACAATTTTAAACAAAGTAGCAACAGAGATGGAAATCAACATAGTGTCTGTGGGATATTGTGACCAAAAGTTTAATTTTATTTATGGTTTGATTGGTTGACTTTTTGTGTCACATATTAAATATCACATAAAATTTGTTCATTTTACAATAAGATGTGTTTTCCTCTCTAGGATTTACAGAAATGTTTTCAAGAGCAGATACGACTTCAGGGCCAGGTGAGGCTTCTGGAACATCGTGTGAAACAGCAACAGTTAAAAATTATACAGCTCTTAGAGAAGAAAGAGATTCAGTACAGTGACAGAGAAGATGAAAACAGTGTCATTGATTTGGGAGGAAAAAGACAGTATTCAGGTTAGAAATGAAGCTATTCTTTTCATTTCCATTCATTGCAATGATACCCAGGAGCTTTGGCACAATTTGGTCTATTGAGTTATGGTTTTAAAAGCTTATTGTAGAATGTTTGTTTAAAACACAGTGCTCAGCTTTTACCTGGACCTGTTGTGCAGGGAAAAATTGCTAATGTCAGATGGTAGAAATCAAATCAGGATTTAAGAAGTTTACTGATTTATTAGTAGTGCATCATTTTAAAACAATCAGTGGATAATAAATGAAGCATAAACATCAGCAATACAAGAGATAAAAGCCAATAATAGAAATTTACAAAATGTTAATCAGGAGTTACAGACTTCTAAACACCATTCTTTCACTAATGTCAGAAGTTCTAACAATCTCAAAAACGACAGGATTAGTTCACATTCATACATTTAAATGGTTGCCTGGGTTACAAGAAAAGGATTTTGTTCCAATCTGTAAAGTCCCTGAGACATCCATATTTACATACATAAACCTGGCATAATGGCATCTGCATCTCACTTTAATATCATTTTCACTGAGTTGAATTCAGCTAATGACATCACAGCTCTTAAAATCCTGGTTTAAAGTTGTTTTTCTAATTTCACCAGCACTCTGGTGGTGATCCACTCCTTCTACAGTGGAAGGCTTATAATAAATCCAGTGGAAGTATATAATAAAACATCATCCAAACTCTTAATATAATAATACACCATCCAAAACAATAGTTGGATTGAAAATACAATTTAGGAGACTGACTTCTAGATTGTGTTTTTTTCTAGTTGTCCAGTGCTAGAAGTCTTAACTACTATTATTTTTAATAGCCTTGTTTGAATATGCTTGTAGCAGCTTATGCTGCTAGAAGAAATACCAATATATATATAACATTTGATCCCAAGGCATCAAATAATATAAAACACCATTAAAATGAAATTAAAAGCAGTTGTAAATCTGACTTAAAAATTTTAGCTGCATATTTATGTACTCAGCATCCTGGAACACTTTGTTTTTATTATTAGGGCTGACTCATTTGTTACTGGAAAAGATTATTAAAGCCACATTTCTCTGAAAGGTATTTGCCTTTCTTAGCATAAGCCTCAATTTATTCTTTTACAATGTTATTCTAAAAAACCAGATCTAACTTGCTCCTGTTTCTGCTTTTTTTTCCCCTCCATTATTATTTCACTTTCATTACAGCTTGGGAAATTATTTTCCCTGTTCATGCTGCATTATTTTCTCAAACTGCTGTAGCATTTTAATATCAATAGATCTGGATAATTTGAGTTAGATAGTGAGGGGGAAACTCCGCACTATATACACCCGCTAAGAATTAAGATATGCTTGTGTTTTGCTGACCTACTAAGAAATTAATGGACAAGAAAAGCTATTTGCTCTAAGCCAATCACACATTCTCTATAAAGACAACTTAGCTGTTTTTTAAATCATGTTTTCTATTAGAGTTTATTCAAATTCTGGCATAGCTATTTGTTTTCAGTATGAAGTGTTTATTTTCTATATCTAATCTTCACTGACATTTTCACTGAAGAAAAATGTAATAGTTCATAAAGTTCCAACCAGGCCTGGAAGTTCAGCCAATTCAGAGAATTCCTTAAAGTTAATCAAGTCTAGCTTAGCCAGGAAAAACAGGAATGCTAAAAATTATATATCTTTTCTGTATGACTGCCTGATGATAGATTACATATAAACAAAGAACTCCTTTCATTTCTTAATTCCTAGAGGAGAGTATATAAGATTATACAATTACATTGCTCTGAATTTTTCAGAGCTCCATGAGCTCTGAATTTTGTTATTGTTGCAAATTATATTCATCAACAGCAATGCAGACCAGATTGTGGATAGTACCAAGCCAAAGTGATATCATTTTACACATACAGTGCACATTTTGGGCACAGTCTTCTGTATATTTTTGCACCTATTTGGTAGAAGGGACAGGAGAATCGGGCCTTGCACTTGTTTCTGTTTTTAACACTGGAGATTCCATACTTTTGTTTCTGGCACTTCTGTGAACTTTCTGGACATAAAAGTACATGTCTGCTCATTAAATTTTAAGGTTGTAACAGGATTCTAATGTGGATGATACTACTGTAAGTTAAAAGTGACACAACTTAAAACAGAATTTTTTGCCAGGCAAGTAGAAACAAAAATTGTAATATTTCATGGTGTGAAGATATTATTTCAAAGATATATCAAAATAATTACAGCCCAGAAAAACTTTAAAGCAACACAAGTACAAAAAATACCCAAAAGTCAAAGAAATGTGTTTGCAGAGACATTTCATTAGTGTGGTTCATGTGTGACTTCTACATAACATGTCTTGATTACTATTACTGACTTGATTTCTGATTTTGCTAGTAAGTACAGGACTAAAAATGTTGTGTCCGATTAATGTTGTGTGAACAGATTGTGCAGAAATCTACAATGAAGGCCATAAGCAAAATGGATTTTATAAAATAAAACCAGTCCAGAGTCCTAGAGAATTCTTTGCGTTCTGTGACATGTCTGAAGGAGGTGGCTGGACTGTGTTTCAGAGACGGTCTGATGGCAGCCAGAACTTTGATAGGTAGGTACTAGATTTGGTAATTAAAACTGGAAACAAAGTGAAGAAACATTAAACCAGATGGAGCTAATTGAAATCTGAACTTTAGAAGGATATGAGTAAGTTGTTATCCCAGATAAAAGGGAGGAATGGTTATTCTGTGGGACAGCCTCCAGATGAGATACCACTTCTGGTTCTAGCTGTCTTCCATGAGACATTCGTTCTAATCTTTTTCTGACAACTTGTGCATGTGACACTAGGACACTTCAATGTCAAGTGTGTTAACAACTGTTGGAGCAAGGACTCCTATTGATGAGAAAAGGACCAGATCGTTTTCTGCAATCAGTAAAATTAAAAAAAATATGTATATATAAGCAATCTGAGGGCCCTTGGAGTAAAAATGTGTTTCACAAACGTGTCTAGTGGGAGGATAAGAAACTAAGTACCTAAGCTGAAACAAGAGAGGTTCAGCCTGGATATAAGGAGAAACGTTTTCACCATGAAAAGAGTCAGCAGTTTCCCCAAAGAGAATGTGCAGTCTCCGTCCTTGGAAGTTTTCGAGATCTGAACAGACAAGCCCTCAACAACCTGGTCTGATCTCATGGCTGATTCTAGCTTGAGACTGACACTGGACTAGCTTGCTTCTTGAGGTTCCTTCCAGTTTTAGTTATTCTGTGATCTAAAATTGTATTATAAAACATCCAAACAAACTTGCTTTTTTGATAAATTAGTAATTTATACCCATTTCAGACTCTGGGCTGACTATGAAGAAGGCTTTGGAAATTTTGTTTCGAAAAATGGTGAATTTTGGCTTGGAAACAAAAATCTTCATTATTTGACTAATCAAGGTAAGATTGGTATTGTAACAATAGTCTTATTGTTTCTGTTTCTTTGCTCTTTCCAGGTCATTTTTTTTGTTTCTCCTTTTTGTTATCATAAATCCTGAGTTCTGTTGTTAGTCTGCATGAACTTCTCTCAGTTTCAGGAAAAAAACACATTTGAATATATGTTTTCTAACAAAAGGTTCAAAACTGTCCTTAGGCCACTGGCATACTCAGAGCCCCAGTGAAACAGGGAACAGGAGACAGGAGTCTACCTTAAAAGAATTGTCTCTATCCATTTTCCATCAGCATCACTAACAGTCCAGAGACAGGTGTATACTGTACCAAGACATTTATTCAGGGCTTTTTAGCTGGGTGGGCTATTACATGGAAGTAGTTCTAGTCGACTCCTGTTGATTAGGCCAGTAGTAGAAAGTTATTTCCATCTTTCTAATAGCCACACAATGTAAACTAACATCTGCTCTTTTGTAGAATGCTGCAGAATGCTACAGACCTAGGGACAGTTTTGAACCTTACCCACTGGCTTAGCCAGCTAAATCATATGGAAATCAGTGCCATCAGGATGTGATCCTAGTATAACCTCTTTATTTTCAGAGTATAAAAATCTAATTTTCATAGGTGAACATTTATTGATCAATTTTCACTATGCTTTCATTACCACCTCAAATATTGTACTAAAATGTAAAACCTGTAAGGCCATGGTTTTTTACAATTTTTTTTCTACATTTGAATATTTGTATTAGAATAATTCTAAAATTTTCTAACCTGAATAGAATTCACTCAGGTCAACAAAGGCAAAGAATAGCAATACATGCTTTAGTATGCACAAAGAAAGAAGATAAAACCCCATAAAATATGCCGAGGTGATAGAGATTCATAATAAAAACATTTTCTTTTAATCTTCTGCTGTAATGCCCAGTTCTGAAAAGTAGTAAGATAGGCTAGTTTAACTAAAATAATTAGTTGTTTTTTTTTTTTTTAAGGGAATTATACATTAAGAATTGATCTAACTGATTTTGAAGGAGAACGACGTTTTGCACAATATGCAAGATTCAGAGTTTCAGGAGAAGAGGTAATAAAATATTAAATGACTAAAGTTTTTAATGAAAATGTGGATTCTGTAGACAAACAATAAACATACAGGTTCCCTAATTTCCATAAAGATTTGTGTAGAATCTTAATACCATATTTTCTTTCTTACACATGCTTATAATTTTCAAATACCTAATAAAATGGTTTACTTTGATACATTAATTTCACACTTTCTGTAAGAGATATGAATCACTTGGTTTAGCAGGCATGGATAAAAGCAGTTTTTCTGTTTGTTGATATTACCAACAATAATGGTAGATGTTCTTATTTGCTAATGTATACTGTAAACTAGCCCTAATGTCATTTTTATTAAGTCATTGATACATATAGTTAATGACACATTTTATCCCTGTTAAGCATCTCTATAACCTTCTAGTACTAAATAAATTGTGTGTAAGTGCCAGAACATTTCTTAGCATAATAATAGCAGCAAATGGAACAGGCTAGCTTCTGTTTTGTGGTTTCACCCTCTGACATGCTAAGGGCTAATGACATACAGGAATTAATTTTTTTTTCTTTCTTCAATTTTTTAAATTAGCATTCTTATGAGATGAGTTGTGGTGAATACTCTGGGACAGCTGGTGATTCCCTTACTGGTGGATTTCATCCAGAAGTAAAATGGTGGGCTGATCATCGAGGAATGAAATTCAGTACTAGAGACAGGGATAATGACAACTATGAAGGGAACTGTGCTGAAGAGGAAAAGGCTGGCTGGTGGTTTAACAGGTATTTTGATTTCATATGGGTACTGTCAACTATTTTGCTCCATGTGTATTCATAAAATAATAACATATTCTAGAAGATAGACTGGGATTGTTAATTTATTTGCAATGTGCCGTTCTCCCCTAGCAGAGATCTCAGTGCTGGTAAGACTGAGGCTCACCTTAGAAGGGACAGCACCTACTGTGCCTCTCAGGCTGGTCGGTGACAATGGCATTTGCCACAGGTCATCTTTGTTATCAGGCACTGAGGAGGAGATAATTCTACACCTCTGAGGTAACTAGTTTTTACACAAGTAGGTCATGTAGAGTTTGCAGATACATCCCTGCTGTACTTCACTCTCACATTTCTCTTGTGTTGGACTTGACCAGATGTGGCAGCATTGCAAATATCTGACAAGCTAAACTGGTGCCAGGTTATCAAGACTAATTTTTTTCATCTCACTTCACAGTATCTCACTCATTATTCTTTCCAAATGGAGATGGTAATGTGTCTACCCAGATTCTGTCAGTGTGCATGTCTGAACCAATTGAAAGATTTTTTAAAATAGGGCTCAGTAAGAGAATTTAAAAATTCTACAACATGCAATATACCAAATCAAAAAGAAAGGATAAAAATGGTAGCTTTAGCCTGTACAGTTCAGCTATGTTCTTTTCTGTAATTAATTAAATAAATATAGCCATGAAGAGAAACTCTGCAATATAGATGTGTAATAGAGAGAAATAAAATACAGCTCAGGGAGGAACACTACTCTCTCACTGTGATCTCAGCTCACTTGGCAAGAGGTGCCAGGCTGGATCAACTCCATTGTTTCTGTTGTGTCATCCTTTGTTTCTTTTTTTAACTCCTCATTTGCCAAATTCTGTTTTCATAAGTAGTCTGTGACCACCTTAACTGATATGATGTAGCTTTTAACTCAATGTTTCACAATTAGCTACTTATTTTAATACATTTTAATATATTTGCATGGATAGCCAGTCAGCAGAATGTTTGAGACTTGGAAAAGGCACATGTAAACAATGTGTTTTTGCATTTCTCAGGAAAGCTAAGATATAAAAGAGAAAGGCAACTATGTTGGAGCTTCTTTTCCCATTAAATCAGAGCTTTTGTAAATTTAAAGGAGTATCGGGACCTCAAATCACATAAAACTGATATCATGCCATGGATTTCCTTATGACTGAATTAACAATCACTTTTAGACCACTGAATAATATTTTTTGCCTTTTAAAATTTTTTTTTTTAATATTGGATTGACCTGGACAAAAGAATGACCACTTTGCAAAAGTAGCTGCACAGCAGAACTTGACAGTTATTTATACCTTGTAGTTGATGCTACGTAACTTCTAAAGATAGCTGACTCCTACTAGGCTACTTCTTATTATGGTTGTGTAGCTCAATCTCTTAAAGTGACGGTCTGGCTTGATAATGAAAATTAGTTACTAAAAGTGTCATTTCACTGTTTTGTTATTGAATTTTTAATGTTAAGTCTAACATAAAACTGAACATTGCAAAATACTAGAAAATGTCAGTATCATTAAGTCCTACTCAAAAGGACAGTACTGGCAAGAGAAAGGAAAGCACTCAGAAACACATATTTGTCATGCACAGATTAGCAAATATAGAAGGAATTAGTGCTCTTGGCTGGTTTGCATAAGAGCTCCCAGCTATGAAGGGATTGTTTATAGCCAGCTCTATGCTATCAGGACTAATGAAATACAGAAAAGCCCAGATAATATGAAAACCAAAGGATGTGACACAAGTGAAGCCACATGGAAATAGCTCAAAGCTAGTTTAAAGCCACAAGTCTTGCTCTAGCTCAGCATTTGTTGTCCTGGACCTCTGCAGAAAAATGGCCCCTTTTGTAAGCAAAGTTCTAGCAGAGATTTTTATCTTGAATGCAAGGCCACAGAGCTGGGTTCACTCTGGTACTACCTGCAGGTCATAAGCTTCCCAGTACCCAGGGCACTGCAAAGCTCGTAAGTAGTTCATAAGTAGTGAGATAAAGTTCATAAAGGTTCATAAGTAGTGAAAGTGAACAATTCTGGTTGGACATCAGCTTATTCTCTCCCAGCACTCCCATTTTGTTATACCATGCATGGATGGTAAGAGGGATTGTTAGGCAACAACTTGGGGCCAGATACCACTAAGTCAAGCTTCCTGCCTTACCAATCATCCCAGAGACTGCATAACTACACTCATGTGGGGTCAGTGGAGTCAATAAATCCGGACAGAATTCAAAGGGTTCTTCAGGGAACCAACTCCCATCTCTCCATAGCTTTCACACAGTTAATACATAATTCAGATAAAATATCCATGGACAATTGAGAGTTGGCTGTACTTTTGAAACTATTGCAGTGTACTTTTTATTAGCCTATTGAAAAGATAGGAGGAACACAGGCTAACTTTAAGGTATTTATTGACTTGTGAATAATGAATGTTTTTTCACAATATCTTATTACATGCCGGTTGTTAACTTAGTATGTACAGTTACTTCAGAGAGCATCTAGTTGGACACTGAATACTCTAATTTTCACTATTCATGCTTCCCAGCACTATTTAAGACTTTTTACTGGCTCATATTGCTGTTGGCAAAATTATGGTATGCCTTCTAATGATTCTTTTAATGAAAACTGTTTTGATTTAAAGTAGGCAGCGTGCCTGCTCATTGCAGAATTTGTATGATAAGAAAGATTATGTCAGCTCTAATAAAAGTTTTTCATTCTCAAAAACAAACTCAATTTTGATGTCCACAATTTATAAGCTTTCAATTAACACTTATCAAAATTTACTTTAAAAATTGTAAGCAATAAATGAGGATATATAGATGAGAATTTTCCTTTGGCGTTTTTCTCATAGTTTTTATCTCAAAAACTTTGCTAATGAAGTATAAGCAAAGCTAAAAAGACTAAGATTTGCAAGTAACAAAACTCATAAGGTTTATTTGGAATATTTTCTGTGTGCGTATTTTCTGAAGTCTGCTTTTGGAATCCATCATGGTGTTCAACAGCTAGATATTAACAGCATTTATAATGAAATACTGAATTGGCAGATAAACCAAGCTGATTCATCACAATGTGCTGCAAAAGGAACAGCCAGTTTCCTCTTCACACAATGATCTAAGCTTGTTTCTTGTAGAAACCAGGCAAGTATCAAGGTTGTGCTGTTTCCTTTTCAAGCCTTTGGGTTTTGCTAGGGTTTGTTTTTTTTTGTTTCAACCACTGTATTTAATAAACTATAATTGCATTTGTGCCTGAGTCTGTTTAAATACAACAAAACCCCCTCAACATTGTGTAGTCAAATAAAATGCCAACTCTTGTGATCCAGTGAATTGGTACACGTGTGTAATTAGCTGTCAGAATTCATCTTTGTAAATAGAAGTCCACAGGTGGGTAGGCAAACTGTTGGTGATATTCAGGTTTTGTCATACAAAATACCATGTGGTATAACTTGAAACCTTAAGGGGGGCTACTCTGGAACAACAGAAAAACACAACAGTATTTCTTTCCCAGAGTGTGGTGTATGCCCTACTCTCTTCCATCCTGAACAATTCTGGAAAAATTTTCCACTGAAAGAAATCAGCAGGAAAAGCTCCAAGAGCTGTAATGTCAGAAAACATGGAAAGAAAAAGCAGCACTTTTGATTAAAAGAAGCAAAAAACATATGCAGTTCTTCCCCAATTAAAGCATTGTTGTTTATGCACACAGAATCCACAAATGCAAATTTATGCAGTTGTCAAACTAGGCTGGCATCAACATGGCAAAATTTTTTGTCTTGCAGAGAAATAAATAACAAATGCGTGGAATTTTTCAGCAGGAGGCCTTATTGCTGTTTCCCTTTACTTTCCCACCAGGTGTCACTCTGCCAACCTGAATGGTTTGTACTACAGAGGTCCCTACACTGCCAAGACAGACAATGGGATTGTTTGGTACACCTGGCATGGGTGGTGGTATTCCCTAAAATCTGTTGTCATGAAGGTCAGACCTGCAGACTTTGAATGTAACATTGTTTAGATATTCTACTAACATGATTCACCCAACTAATCTCTTAGGAAATTCATTCCAAATTAAAATGGGCAGATTTTTACTTCTCAATCTATGCATATATAAATTTGGAATAATTCCTCTGCAACCAGTAGTTTTATGAGATGCAAGTGAAAAGATAAGCTAGCCTATGAACGTTTAGATACAAATATTAATGTTAATGGATCCAGGTATTTTTTTTAAAAGGCAAGTGTTCACCTAGGAATAAGGACATCTTCATTAAGATGGCAAATTTTTGGCTTTCCAGTAACTCCAAATCCTTTCCCACTTAAAACCAACAGTATTGTTACTGTGCTGTCTCAAATATGAAAATTAATTGTACTTACACAATAAAAAAACCCCTACTCAAATAGAAGCATAATGTTTACTCAGTGGATGGAACATACCTGCTTTGGAAAGGTTCAAGACTTTAGAAATTAGTTTCCTGTAAATCCCTCTGATGTAATGGTTGCATGTGTTGTGTACATAGTACACATAAAAGGTTTAAAGAATGAGGCAGGGAACTGAAGAAAGAGAAGGGGTGGTACCAGGGTACAATCAATTGAATCCAGCATAGAGAAGTGGATTGTCTGTTGTTTGCTGAGGCATTTCTAGGGCTGGTCACATTTCAGTAATTTTGAAATGTTTCAAAATGTTTTTAGATGGTAAGTAATTATGCTTTTCTCCTTCATAACAGTAATGCTTTTCTTTTTCTTTTTTGGATTTACAACTCTCTAATTTTGAATTTCCTGTTCAGTCACTTCCTCTCCTCTCCCTATATAGTTGTCTAAGCTCTCTGGGCTTTTTTCCATCTCAAATTGCATATCCATATTTTTCTTGTACAAGAATAATGGTAAGAGAGACTTTGCCTACTCCTGGATTTTGTGCCTGGCACTACAATAGACTCTAATAGCCAGTAATAACAAGAGTTGCTGATTAGTGCTTGCTGCCATGGAGAAGATAGGAATACTCTCTAGAAAGCTATCCAATGAAATGTAGTCCATTTCTGCTGGGCAGATGCAAATGAAGACCTCAAAGAAAATATGGACCTAAGCTTGCTTTCCTAAAATAATTTTGCTTTTGTGGTTGAACTGCCACTCTCTCTCTCCCTGTCCAAATAGTTTTGAATGTGGCAGCCACTTTCAATCATGCTTAAAATAATTGAAACTAAATTTTGGTAAAGGTCAGTTTATAACTACATCGCTATGAATACAGGACAGCTGAATTGTAACTCTCTGCATGGCAATTTTTCCTTCCATTTTCATCCTCCTGAAACAAAAGTTTATAAAGAATCCTTGAGAGAATTGCATGGAATAAGGGAGGGAGGATGTTTGTAACAACTGAGGAGAAGAAAGAGAGTTCTTATGAAACAATCTCACTCAATAAGATAAATCATGCTATACCTAAGCAAAAAAAAAAAAAAAAAAAAAAAAAAAAAAAAAAAAAAAAAAAAAAAAGAAAAAAAAAAAACACCAAAAACCAAACAAACAAAAAAGTGTGGAGAAAAAACAGGGTTCAGACAGCTAAAATCATGTCATAATGTAAAAAATGTGTCAATGAAAATCTGTAGTAGAGGTTTTATTTTGGTGGTAATAACAGACATTCTAGATAATCCAGTCTTCTTCCTGATGTATCAACTGATACTGTGCTGGAGATTTCTAGTCTTTAGCACATCCCTGTACCTGTGCATGAGAGGACCAATGAACAGTTATTCAACTGCATCTTTTGAACTTTAATTAGTTACACCGAATTGCATTCAGTGTCTGAGAGGAAGGCCCATCATGTGTGTGTGTAAGGGTGGTAAGGGGGAGGGAGGGAAGTAAAGAGAGAGAGGGGAGAGAGGGAGAGATAGTAAGAGAAATTCAAGAGTAAACCAGAAAATCTGATAAAGTATTTTTATTCAATTTTATTACATAATTTAAATTGGGTTGCTATGTAACTATGCATATGTCTGTAGGTATTGGTTATTAATAATGTGATGGAAGTTTTGGAGTTATTGAAAAAATGTTGTAAGTACAGTCTTTCCCATAACGATTTTCAAATTATTTTCCACTCTAAGAGGAGAAAGCTTTAATTATTTGGAAAAAACAAACAAACAAACGAACAAACAAAAAACCAAAAAAAACCCCAAACCAAAAAAGAATACCATTATGTAGAAATTGTAAAAACATCTTTAGTTTTTACCAGGAAAATTGAAAGATTAACTCATGAATTTGGAGAGTATATAGGCAGATCATATTCTACCAAAATAAAAGACAAGGAGGATTTATGCATAGGAAAGTTGGATTTTTAGCACATTAAAAAAAAAAACAAAAAAACTTTGAAAATGTACAGGTTCTGCTCATAAAATCTATGATAACTTTTTTATATACTGTAGCATAAATCCATCCTCTTTATTTATAAGAACCCAAATGAAATCTTTTGGCTGAGTTAGGGTGCTTTTGACATATTCTAATACAAAACTTGACTCCTTTTCTATAGTGTAAATCTTAAAATGAAGAATCAATTCTGTCTTTGTACATTTTCTAATTCACTTATATGTTTATTTGAATGCTCTTCAGAACAAGGAAGCATCTAGCATATTGTCAGCAATATGCAAATATTGTATTTAATTTCCACCACTTTTCCATGGCCTTTCTTTGTGCAATAAATCTTTCTGGCCACATGAAAAGCATGTGAGAGTGTTGTAATTCAAATGCTCATATAGTTGTTCTTAAATAAACATCCATTTATTTTCAAGAGGGAAGTTTTAATAGCTACCAGGCAAGACACAAGGTTGGAAGAGAATTCTTTCCTTTGTCAGGCTTGCCTGTTCATATGAATTTATTTCCTCAACAGGTACAAACATGTTCTAAATAGTCTTTTTTATTACAAGATAGCAGATCACAGGTCAGATTATTTGTTCTGTTGTTAGACAAACAGCTGTTCCCAAACAACTGAAAATGAATACATACTATTTCATAGAAATCATATAACTCAAAAGAAGAAGAATTGAGGAAATAACAATAAAAATGTTTTGTCAGTCATGTTAATAAAGAACATAATGATATCTAGAGCAATGTGGAATCAAAAATATATCTTTTTGTAGTATCTGTTCATGGGAAACACTTGCATTTTATTTCTGTGTCTGTGTTCTTGCATTTGCTCAACATATTGGAGAGTAAAAGAACGGAAACCACAATCCCAGATGAATTAAATGAGCAGTAACAGAGCCTTTTATGTTACAGCAATTGTTTTTCCTGGAATATGTAGAATGCATTTTGTTCTGTCAGAGCTACTTCTTCTTGCTCTTGAAATGGTACATCCAGAAAGGGGATTTGAACAACAGGTTGTTAGGTCTGTGAACATTCCTATCATGTTCCTTTAGTTCACTCCTCAAGCTAATTTTTTTTTTTTCATTTTCCTTCAGCAGTAGGTTCTCTTTGGCAACAGAGGTAGAAAGAACAGAAGTATCCAGGGAATTCTGTATGTAAAATTTTAAAAATTTGTACTTATTTGTGGGCTTTTTTTTTTTTGTTGTTGTTGTTGTTGGAATAAGGGAGGGAGGTTTTGGTTGTTTTTTTTTGTTGTTGTTGTTTTTGGGTTTTTTTTGGGGGGGGGGGCTTTGTTTGGCTGGTTGTTTTTTTTTGTTTGGGTTTTTTATTGTTTATTAAGTGGTCAACATGGAAAGCAAAAATGGAGCTTTCAAAACCAGGAAGTATTTTGAAATGAGTATAAGTATGCTTGCTGTTTTCTCAGAGCAGGTCAGAATTGGGAATTTGGTAAGGCTTCAAACATTCAGCTAAAATCCATATGGTCAGAGGGAGGTTCAAATTTTTGTTGAAGTGCTTCTTCAAAGAGAGTATAAAACTTTACAGTGATAGTGGCTTTTTTTGATGCTTAATTAAGCTCTTTTTTTTAATACATAGTGTTCATCAAATTTCTTTCTTTTCCAAATATCTGAGGGTCCTCTTTATTTTTGTTTAATGCAAGATGAAATCCAGCTTGTCATTGCTACATCTTCAGTTAACTAAGACAGGTCCTCTTAGTCCCACCCTAATGGTAAATAGATTGAATCAGAAACATAATGCTGATACACAAACACTGAATAAACAACCTTGGGGCCAAATTCATGTTTGTTTGCTTGCAGAAGAAGCAAAATATGGTCTTTGCATAAAACCCACAAGCAAACCATCTTGTAGCTCACTTTTCTGTCCTTCCTCAGCAAGCTATAAACACCTGTGTATAAGTTCCTTTTACCTTTCTCTTGTACACAATTAAGCTGCTTTTTCTTTTTCCTTCCTGTCTTAATGACAGTCAGAATAAAGACCTGTTAGTTGTGCTTTGCATACCTTTGACTGTCTGTCTTAAGGAACCTGGGTAGCTCTGAGGTTCTGCAGAACCTCAGCAAAGGCTCCAAGCAGCTAAAGGACATTCTTAAGGCACCTAAAATGGCAGTTGTGAGAACAGACTGGACTGAATTATTTAATGAATATGTCACCCAACACTACTAGCAGACGATAAATAGATTCCTCTTACAGGTAAATGGTTCTCACAAATGATTACCTGAATTTCAGTGCATCCAGATTTGTTGTCCTTGCAAAAGGTCACAATTTTCAATCCATGGTCTGTCATACAATTGCAAAATTATATTGCTATGGGAGCCCCTGGTCTAGCACTTTATGCAACATGATAGCTCATATTAAATGAACTTAGAACATTAGTTGAACACAGGCAAGTGGAATATGAGCCAAAATGCTTTTATGTTAGTGATATCCTGCACTAGATGGTGCTCTGTATATGGGTTTTCTTAGGCAATACTACATTTGTAAACTAGTAGAACATTTATTTTGATTAAGTTAATTATTAAATGATAAAAAGTAAGGGAAAAATACTTAGGTGAACTTTGTCCTTAACTAGTTTTTGAAATAATACATGACTACCTGAGGTTACCTAAATGGTAGAAGTTCACAGTATCTAATTCACTTGAGGTACAGCTCATTTAGGTAGTTAGACTGTTGGGGTTTTTTTTTTTGTTTGTTTGTTTTTGGTTTTTTTTTGTCTCGCATTACAACAGTAGTTTGTGTCTTCTGATGAAGCAGAGACAAAACTGTGCAAGTTCCAAACACTACTTGAACCAATTTAGCTGTACTACTGCATTCCTGCTGTGATTCCTCTACTGCTCTTCCCTGCTGGGATATCTTCTATTTTTCACATCTCAACTACTAGGAAATTCAAGGTAACTTCACTGTAGTGAGGCCATCTTTGTATCATAACACAAATAACACAGCATTTGAATGTTTCTTGTGATCAAGAAGCTGAGATTATGTGAACACTTGTGGCACAAGCAGGATTAAGTAAGTGCTTGGGCCAGACTGAATTCACTGCAGGG